ACCTGTCTAGAAAGTGCAAGGTCCCGAGTTCGATCCCTGGTACCAAAACAAACAAAACACTTAATTGTAAACTTATAGGGTACAGTACACTATTGTAATACATGTACACAGTGTGTAATGATCAGATTAGGGTAATTGGCATATCCATCACCTTGAACATTTATTATTTCCTTGTGTTAAGAGTGTTCAGGATTCTCTCTACCAGCTATTTGGAAATACACAATTGTCGTTCCCTACTGTGGTCTAGAATATTCGAAGTTATTCCTCCTATCCAGCTGTACCCCTATACCCACTCACCACCCTCTCTGCACTCCCCTTCCTTCCCCCCAGTCTCTAGTAGGCACTGCTTTCTATTTCCATGAGATCAACTTTTTAAACTTCCACATATAAGCAAGAACATGCAGTGTTTTTCTTTCTGTGCCCAGCTTAATTCATTCAGCACACTATCCTTCAGGCTGAAGATTACTCTAAGTTGTGTGATTTGTGCAGTTGATCTTTTCACTGGCACATTAGTCCTACAGAATAAGAATTGTGATGACGTGGGTATATGCATATAACATATTTTGATTATTTTCATCCTTGTCACCCCCTCTTCCATCCCTTCTTCTTCTAATCCCTTCCCCATCACTAGAAGACGACTTTCTCATTTCCTGCACTCTTTCCCTTGTTTTTGTACTTATTTCAAACTTCTTTTATAAAAGAAAGGCCACAATTTTTACCTGAGACTGGCTTATTTCACTTCAGTGGTCTCCAAGTTCCATCCATTTTCCTACCAGTGACGTGATTTCATTCTTTACCACATTTTCTTTACCCGTTCATCTGTTGATGGATATCTAGGCTGTTTCCACAGTTAAGCTACTGTGAATATGCAATGAGATACTCTTTTTCTGAGTTGGTAAAGTATGTGATATAAACATCACTGATAATATAAATCTATGTATAAAATGAAACTTTTTTTGAGACAGGATCTCCCTAGGTAGCCCAGGCTGGCCTCAAATTCATGGTAATCCTCCTGCCTCAGCCCCCTGAGTGCTGTGATCACAGGCATGCGCCACCATGCCCAGCTAAAATGAAACATTTAGATAAAGCTAAAAAATAGTGCAGTCACCCACTTACTGTAGAAAGCACATATCACTCTTAATGTGCTTGACACCAACTTCAGTGTCGTGCGTGAAGAATTTTAAAGTCCGGCAGCCCTTCTCAGAATTCCTGCCCAATTCAGGTTCCTGGTCCTCCCTTTTCTCCAGACTCATTTGCTTCCAACTGCACTTGGTGATGCACAGAAGCTGTCAGGTATGAACTCCTTTTGTTATATGGCCCAGGGTTCGCCACCCCTCCTGCACAGCCATCCTCTCCCCTCTTTCCCTCATCTGCTTTCTTTCAAAGCTGGCCACCCTCCTGGATCCCATCGCTGTTTGACCTAAGAGCCTGCTCCCTCAGTGACCCCTTTCCCATGAATCTTCAACCAGCACCCTCCCTCTCCTGTTCTGCCTCACTTCAGACCTCCTCCTCACTGCTGTGCCTGTCAGTGTCATCCTCCCCCGTCACCAGACCCAGATGCTAATGGTCAGCCTGGCTCCTGTTCTCCGCTTCTGTTTGTTAGTTACCAAGCCTCACAGACACTTGCTTCCTGTGTCCCTTCAGACTGTCCCTTTCTCTCACCACCCCTGCCCAGAGCTACCATTATCTACACAGCTGCCATACTAACCTACCTCGTTTGTCTGCTGTAGCCTTGCCCCCTTGACTGTGTCACTCTTCTTAAACACCTCCAGTGGCCCTACATACTCCCTGAGCAGAGTATTCCCTGTAGTCTGCCTCTCTGGTCTCTGCCATACCAGTCATTCCCTCCCCCACCCTTGGGCTTCCTTGCAACTCTAATGACCACGTTGTTTTCTCTCATGACTTGTGCCTTAGATCCCCTTGGAACAGCCTTTCCTGATACACATCACTCCCACACAAACACACACACTTACATACATGCCCGTCTTTCTGCCCCTCACACTTTCATGGGGTGAGAGCACAGTACAGGAGCAGCATCTCCAGCCTGAGCTGCCCACAGATCCGCTCCCTCCCTCCCTCCCTCCAGCTTCCCTCACACTCTGAAAACAATCATTGGAGCATTTCACAGTGTTTACCAGGAAAAACCTACCATCAATTTCCTAAACCCATGCCCTTTTCTATCTTTGTATATATCATCACTAATGTTTATGAATAAATAAAAATCCTCAATGAAGTTACTGCTTTTGTGACCTTAGAGGAAATAAAAAGGACCAAAAGGCTACAATAAGCAAATTTTACAAACAGTCCAGTGTCATGGAGTCATAGAAGTCAGAGCCCCTAAAAAAGTGCATGTGCATGCATGTGTGTGCGTGTGAATTTTAGGATATAAGAAGTCAAAAGGAAATCCATTTAACTGTTATACAAATAGAGTTATAAGATTTCTGGTGCTCCAAGTCTATTTCTAGGACAGTTTCCTAGGTGCTACATACATAAACTTTTCCAAACAATTAAGAGAGCCCCGGGGCCGGGGATTTAGCTCAGTGGTTCCACCACCTGCCTTGCAAGCATAAGGACCCGAGTTCGATTCCTGGTACCAAAAAAAAAAAAGAGAGCCCCAAGTAATTCAAGATGCCTTTATAGAAAGCTGTCCAAGAATGAAATGCATACCTAACAATTTCCTAATTGCTTTCTGAGACACATGTGCATCCTTTAGAGAATATGGAGCCTGCACAGATAGTTAAAACCCTTTCTGTAGCAGTGTAATGTAAAAGAAATGCCCATGCTTTTCAAAATGTTCCACTTTCCACTGCTTTTGAGAAGGTGAGGAAGGCAATGGGTTCTGCTTGTCAGTAGTCAGTGCTATTTGCCAAAAGCCTTTTGTATAACAAACACGAGCACCTACTGCTTTTGGTCTCCCAGTGTAACTTTCAGACACTTTACTATGAGATAAACTGGCAGGTACAAATAATTCTTGAGACTTCCTCCATAGCATTTTCATGCATCTTATCAGTAAGTAGTACTGCTTTGTGCTGAGATCTGGCAACCTGTGGGCTGATGAATGTTCCAAAGACTTTCTGTAAGAGTAACCACCATTCTAGTGTGATTTCACGATTACTTTTTACATGAGTGAGTGCTGTCTACTTCACACATTTGCCATCAGCATGAAGCAGGGTTGCATACTTCAGAGTTTTCATTCACTGCAGAACAGAGACAACCAGACAGGCATCACAGAGCATCTGACTGTTGATCTTGACCTCTGCGTCAGCAACTCCAGAAAATGCTTTCAGTTTACAGATGCTGAACATCATCATAACACGCCAGAAACAACTGTCTACATTCCTGACCCTTTTCTATAAGACAGAGATAGAGTTATGTCCTACTTTTCAAAATCCACATAAAAATTTTACTCACGCTTGCTTGACAACCACCATAGTCACAAGCACATACCTACTTGGAATGAAACCTGGGTCATCTGGCGCAGTCTTTTATAGATATTTTGGCCAGGACAATATTTTAAATTCTAAAATGCTGTATTTCACTGGTTTTAATACGTATGTTTTTGTTATATTTTAACATCTCTGAAAGTGGGATATATCTTATCAGTGGCATGTTGTAGATTTGGCATAATTTTTCTAAATGGAACATATAATGGTATGTTACATTTGTGACGTCTTAAGTTAGAAGAAACAAGATATATATTATGCACCTGTCTTAAAATCATTTACTCGGCTGAAACCTAGTTAATACATTAATATAACAACTGTAAAAAGTGATAGTCTTATCTGTGAATTTCATTATTTACAATATCTCTTTTGGTAGATATTTATGTTAGAATAAAGTCCTCACACTGATTTCCACTCTTATTTTACTGTTTTCTGCAGGAGAAATGTTATATATTAATATATAATGTATAGTAGGTATGTCATATATTTTATATTGATATATAAAAATATATAAATTAATAAAATTAATGTATGTGAATGAAATTATCTTAAGGGGCTAGGCATGTGGCTTAGTGATAGAGCACTTGCCTAGTATGTGAGGATTTGAGTTTACATTCCAACACCATCATGGGGGAAAAACCAAAACTATAGAAAGTTATCTTAAATAATTTTAATTTGATACACACAGTGGCTTCCTTGTAAATTCTCCTCTTATTTTTTCAGCCAGTATTTGCTCAGAAATTTAAATTGTTAGTGAAAATATTCAGGGTTTTTCTTTCTCTTATTCTTTATAGTGTTCAGGGTTTGAATTCATTGCTTCTCTATTCTAGCAGTATATTTTCACCCAAGTTAAGCTGGAGTAGTTTTCTCTTTCCTATGTATAAAAATCTGTAGAAACATTAGCATTTTTGAACCTTTCCTCTTCAGGGATTCCTTTTTTTCTTAGGGAAAAAGCAATTGAATATAATAAAACCTGTATGAGCTAGACTGATCAGTGCATAATTACTACACCAGGATTTCTAATTAAATATAGCTTCTGCAGTTTTTAAAATGTGTTTAATCTCTTTGTTAACCCCATAAGTATCAAATGTTTGAAAGAAATTGACCCTTTTTGGTGAGTCACTTGTTACTACTGTCACCTTTACCATCTATCACCCACTGTGGTCACAAAGGTAGATCATCTGACAAAATCTTTATGGTTCAGAGGCGTCCTTGATATTGCTTCTTATTCCTGTTCATGTCGTAGTACTCAGAAGTGCCAGTATTCATATAAAACATAGAAGAAGCTGCTTGTACTTGAGACTCATTGATAAATTTCACTGTAGAAATTGTATCAACAATAAATTACAGAATATTGGTTTATCAGATTCTAAAACAAAAAGGAGATTAAACTGTGAAAAATTTTGAACTGCTTGTCAGTGTCACTCAACTATAGTTCTAAAGGTAGCCATGTTGCTGCTTCTGTAGTATCGTGGCCTGTGTATCAGTGCTTTTATGAAACAGTCTCCTCATCTATGTGCTTTTCCTCTTGCCCCCTTCACCTTTATTCTTTTTCAGGTCCATACGTTCCGAGGGCCACACTGGTGTGAATACTGTGCCAACTTCATGTGGGGTCTCATTGCTCAGGGAGTGAAATGTGCAGGTAAGAGCATTTCCCTCCTCTCTGGATGGAATCAGTTACAGAGGTCTGAGGCATAAGGTATTAAGGAAATGTACTGTTAGGCACACGAACAACGGACTGAATTCTGGTTTACTCTGCCACACATGGAATCAGCCACATTCTCAGGTGGCCACTTTAGACACTGATATCTTATCTGTCCTTAATCTTCTTGCACTTGATGGAAGAAGACTAAGGATCTGGTACAGTCCATTAAAAAGAGAAAAGTCAGCTTGTTTAAAAAGCCTGACAAAAGGAGATAAAGTAAGGCAGTTATATTTAATACTTCCCTTTGATGTTGCAGTAACTAAATTTATAAAAATGACTTTTTTAAAAAGCAGTGTACCAGGACCTATGATTGTTGCCTTGGCAACTGAATTTTAAAGATAACTTGTTAAGCTGGATTGTCCTTACAAAATTTTTGTGAAATCAAAGCCTAAAAAAAAATCTGTGAGTTTATCTTCAAAGATGGTTACCAAATTCTGAAAAACCACTTAGTCACTAATATTTTCTTGGTAACATTTTGAAATCTTGGATATGCCAAACCCTTTCTGTAAAATATGACCATGATACTGTAGATTTGCATTTAGAAACTTTATGATCTACACATAAAGAAACATCCAGTTGGGGCCGGGGATTTAGCTCAGTGGTTCCGCCACCTGCCTCACAAGCTCAAGGACCTGAGTTCAATCCCCAGTACCAAAAAAAAAAAAAAAAAGAAACATCCAGTGTGTGAGCTCGTTTTTAAGAATGTTTGAATCTGTGTTTGCAATCCTAATTAGCCACCAATACATGAGATGTTTTTTGTTTTAATATCATGTCACACACACATAATATAAAGATTTATTGAAATACTTGAAACAAAGTCATTTCCATCATGTGAAATTTATGAGGTATAACTGAAAAATATGGCATGTGTTAAATTAAAAATATTTATTACAATAGAAGACATGTTGCCATTAATTCTCCTCAGAATACTCCCCCTTGCTTTGAACACACTTATCCCATCATTCTTGCCACTTGTTGGAAGCAGCTCTGGAAGTCTTCTTTCGTGACTCTCTTTAGTTGCACCATCATGGGTGCCTTAATGTCCTGAATCATTTCAAAACATTTACCTTCCATGATCAGTTTGACTTTGAGGAAGACCTAGACTCACATGGTGCCAGATCTGATGAATAAAATAGATGAGGACACACCGTAATGTTTTTACAAACTTGCCTTTCTTTTGAATGGCACCTGGCCGCAGCATTCACCGTGTTTATAACATCTGGTAAAGACAAGTTTCTATTTAATTTGTAAAACTAAAATATCTTCTTATATGTATTTTAGCATAAAGTTTTACACTAGAAAAGTATACTGAGTAAATTAATTCAAAATGGTAACTGTAGTAACTGTCAGATTGAGCCATGTAAATACCCTCATCTCTTGTGGCATGGTTTTGGAGTATTTTTGTTACCCATTGTGCAGAAATTTCTGAGGTCTGGTTTCACATATTTCTAAATTGGATTTTCTTTGAACAGCAAAGTATAATATGCATTGCATGAGGACATTTCAAGTCACTCTTCTTTCAGTCATTATTCCCTGAGCATCAGGAAGGCATACTGAGGTTCTAGGCATATGTCACTAGCCAGGCACATTCAGAAACCTCCTTGCTCTGGGACATGGCTTCAGAATTACACAGGTGTGAACCTTGAACTCTAGAGGTGTCCAGCAAGGAGAGCTGAGGCTCAGGCTTCAGTCTCAGAGGCCGCAGGAAAACCTTACTGCTTTAGCTAAGTTATGCAGAGTCAAGATGAGGAGCCAGCATAAAGAGGCTGTGTTGTACCTTTGAACTGGAAGGGAACAATGTGCAATGGAAAGTGATGATAAAGGGATGGTGGTTAGTTAAGACAGTTTACATCATGGTCTTTTTTTTTTTTTTTTTTTAAGGCAAGTGGAGTACTGTTTCCAAAGCAGAAATTGCATGCTCAAGGAATGAGGGTCTCAGTCAGCCTGGATTGCCATTCTTGACCAGCAGACACCCCCCAACAGTTTCTTAAGCATTTTACGATTGTCAGTAACTTACTAGCTTTTACCAGAGTAATGATATGTATCGTTTACTTTTTGTGAGAATGAAGGCTATCAGCAGAGAACAGGTACAACATGTACAAATATTCTGTGGTAATATGCCACAGTCCAGAAACACATTTGAAAGAAATGTTTTAGAACATCTATTAGCATAAAAGAGGAGAAAAAAATGATTCACCAACACCACCCCCAACCCCCCAGCCACCCACATTCATAGCCTTCACCTCTTACTGTGAATAAGGACAGGAATTGTAACAAAAGCCTTGAGGAAGATTTTTCATTTTATTCCTCTATCTTGTCCTTCAAAGCATTATATTCTGCGGGATTTTGCACCATATTAATGTATAATCTGAGCACATGTCAGCCCATTTTTAAAAACTCAGAGGGTTGGGATTGGAATCCAAATTAGTTCTGTTTTCTTTGACAGCTAATTACATTTGGATGGACAGTGGGATTCTTAGGTTAAATTAGGACTCATCTGGCTTTTGAGCCATCTACATTATCTAAAACAAGGCAGAGAATTAAGAATTTAAAGAGAGAGCACACACTCACTATGGTAGGCTGAATAATAGTCCCCAAAGATGTTTACTTCCCAGCCCCTGGAACCTGTGACTGTATTACCTGTCAGGGCACTAGGAAGTTGCAAGTGATTAAATTAAGGCTACTGAGATGGAAAGGTGACCCTGTATTGTTGCAGTGGGCCCAGTGCAATCACAATTGGCGATGGTTTGTACAAGAGGGAGGCAGAGGATGAGAATCACAGGAAGATGATATAAGGGCAGAAGCAGAGGTGTGAGATATGAGAAAATGCCATACTGTCGTCTCCAAAAATGAAGGGAAGGCGGCCATGAGCCAAGGAATGCAGGTGGCCTTAGGAGATGGGAAGGACAAAGAAATGGATGCGCCCTCCAGAGCCTCCAGAGAGAACATAAGCCTCCTAATACTTTAATTGTAGCTCTTTTAGTACATGTTGTTTTAAGCTGCAGAGTTTGTGCTAATTTGTTACAGCAGCATTAGAAAGCTCACACACTAGCAGGAGTAAATATTAATAAAGACATTATTTACAAAGAGAAATGGCAGGTTTATTACCCGTTAAAAAGGAGATGTGTTTTATTTTTGATCTATAAGAAACCTTGCTTTGTTCTGGGTTGGTTTTTTTTCCCCAGAAAATCTACCCAAGCAAAAGAAAGCTTTCAGGAATTTTTAGTGGAATGTTGGCCAAAAGCAGCAATTTTGTATCCCACCCACACCCATGTTCTGCACGCACACACACACACACACACACCCCTCTTTCTCTCTCAGTTGGGTGCTATTCAAACATCAGCCCAGCAAAGTTGCTGTAGGAATCATTGAATTCAGCTAATACTGAAACAGGTAAGCTGGGTCCCATCAGGCCCAAAATCCCTAGTTTTGTAGGTACACACACTACCCCCAGAAAGGATATGGAGCAGACAAAGGGATGGTCCTGAGAATGCTAAGCATGGCACTGCATGACCTTTCAAACCCCAGCAATACTAGGTGATGTAGGAGGCATTAAACAGTATCAACTGCCAAAGCTTCCCCTTCCTCTGCTTCCATCAAAGTAAGTAAAATAACATCACATGGCAATGTCTAATCACAGCCAAGGACCGATGCTCCTCTTGCTAAAGTATTTATGACCCAAGTAGGTAGCCTTTAAAATGTAGGGTTCAGAGGATGGTCATTCAGACCAATTTTTCCTCAAGTTAGGTTTTTTTCTTTATGAAATGTAAACTAATAGTTTAAATTAATCTTATGGTCACTGAGATTGTCAAACATCCCTCCCTAGAAAAAAAGACCAGTATTTCACCAGAATTTCTAAATTGTTTTTTTAACCTTATCAGAATATTTTAAGGAGTTAAGGATAGTTATTTTAAAATAGATATTTCAACTTAATATTGGTTATTTAAGGTGACTTATTTTCAGCATGTCATTGTCATTGCTCCCCTCAAGCACAAATGGCAGCAGTTTCTTCCTGATAACTGAAATTATTACGTCAAGTATACAGGCACTTTTAGGTTGAAGAAAAGGGGAAGTAATATCTTTTAATTACTGCTTTGATTGTACCTAAAACTTGTGATTGTTTTTCTAAGTCAGTGAGAATTTGAAGACATGTAAGTTTTACATAGCCCCTTTTAGTCAACAGCAATATTTTTATAAATATCCCAAGGAATAAGATATTCCTCTTAATTGTGCTTAGTGAAAATTACTTGTGATGCATATTAAAATATGAGCTGTTCTACTTTTTATGGGTAGAAAATATACATTCAAGAATAACATTTACTGGCTGGGAGTGTAGCTCAGTAGTTGAGCATATCCCTAGAATGTGTGTGAAGCCTTGGGATGGGTCCCTAGCACTGCAAAAATAAAGTACAATTTTATTTATAGTTACTTAAATACAAATACTGAGCTAGGGATGGTGGCACACACTATAATCCCAGCACTTTGGGAGGCTGAGGCAGGAGAATCATGATTTTGAACCCAGTCTAGGCAACTTAGTGACTTTACAAGACCCTGTCTCAAAAAATAAAAAGAGCTGAGGATATAGCTCAATGCAAAGGCCCCATATTCATTCCCAGTACACCACAGAAAGAAAGGGGAGAGGGAGAGAGAGAGAGAGAGAGAGAGAGAGAGAGAGAGAGAGAGAGAGGAAAATAAGCTCATAGAATAATTTTTCCTTTCAAACATGTTACCATAATTATGTTATCCCTTAATCCTGTCAGTAGAATGAGAATGCCAGCCATTCATTTTATGCTCTCTAGATATGCAGCATCCATGTGTTTAAATCAAGCACCAGATAAAAAATCACAATGGTGTAACTATTTTATACCTAAATTGTACCAATAAACTTAATGGGGGAAAAAATAAAATAAAATAAATCAAGCACCAGAAAATCCGAGGGTAACCTAACAGTAGTCTAAGTAATAGGAATACATTAAGAAAGTACAAAATAAAATGATTTGAATTTTTATTTCTCCCTTCATATATTTATTCTACACTGTTAACTTGAGAAATTGGGAGGGAGAAATGTGATTTAATAGTAATGTAAAAATTACCTACCAAACCAAGAGAGATGCAACAAATGAAATTTCCTGTAGATTTTTTTTCCATTTATAAGAGTTATATGACTTTAATAAATAAGTATGAAAACCAAACAAAGTCTTAATGGCAAACTGAAATACAGATATACTGTGAATCTCTGAAGCAGCAATTTTCAGAGAAAACACAAAGCTGGTGTATTGCCCTGTGAACTTAAGGGTATAAAAAAATGCTTTCTTTTAATGTTTTTGCTCTATCTTATGGTCTTCTAAAGGACTTCATATCCAATAAAATGTATTGCTAAAATTGGAATCTTATTTTCTTACAGTTTCACATTATTTAAATCGAAGAATATTAGTTTAGAAAACATTTTCCTTTTCCCTAGATACCTAAATCTCAGCTCGGTCATCATTTTATTCAGCTTTTACTGAGTCACAAGCAAGTTTAGGAGCCTGCTGATCTTTAGGAGATGAGCCCTCACATTCAAAGGGAAAAGTTAGGGCTGGGGATTTAGCTTAGTGGTTCCGCCGCCTGCCTCAAAAGCACAAGGTCCCGAGTTCGATCCCCAGTACCAAAAAAAAAAAACAGGTTTATTCAAAGGGAAAAGTTAGTATCAGACCTTTAATGCCATTCAGATGTTTTGAGATTATACAGATGCATCCGAATTTTACTGTTTGGACTTCTACTTAGGATTTGTACACGGGGAGGGAATATGAACAAAAAATATAGTGGTTAGGTATGATCACTGTTTTTTTTAAAAGTCCTACCAGATCAGTCACAGAGAGATAACTGTAACATTCATTTGGGTGAGACATAGCAGTTTTTTAAACTCAGCATATATAATAATGGGGACAATACACATTATCAAATATGAGATTGAAAATAACAAATTCATCTTGAGTGCTGAAGAAAATAATTCAGAGTACAGTACATTGTGTACTGCTCTTGAGAAGTGTGTATGACTCAGTGGGAAGAGCACAGGCTAGGAATCAGCAAGCCAATGTTAAAATCTCAGTTCTGCCACTTGTCTGGTTAAATAACATGGACAAATCATTTAGCCACTCCACCACATTGTCTTCATCTGGGAAATAAGTTGTTTTCCAACCTCATTGTGACCTGTGTGTCCACACTTAAATTATGAGGCACATCTATACTATTATTAAATTATGACACTTTGCTGAATTTCACACTTTTAAAACACCATATAAAAAAAAAAACAAAAAAAACCATATGAGTTCTTCCAGTTGTGGACAAGATAAAAAAGTGACTTTCACCTTGTTCCTCCCAGGAATTATAACACCCAGCACCACAAAAAACCAAAAACTTTAAAAATTATAGCAAAAGACCCTGAACAAGGTATCTGTATTAACTATGAAAAGATTCAGAGAGTTGGAAAAGGAATGTGGGTTCATGAAAACCTCAGGATTTAAGGAACAACCCAGCAGCCAGTTCCCTGGTGGTATGTGTTTGTGCCTTCTATGTATCCCTGCCTGATTATAGATGCTCATGACCCATAAATTGCCAACAGGCAGGAAGAACAACAGAAAAGTAAGCCTTTCTCAGCAAGTGCACTGGGAAAAGTGTGCCCCCGCACAATAGAAACCTTTTAGCCATACCTACTATTCTCCACAGAAAATTCTCCATAAACAAAGGCATATTGCCACCTCTTCCCGGTGAATGCTATAGCAAGCAGCAGTCTCAGCCCTGCTTTCCAGCCTCACTCTGCAGTAGCTGGGGTGCAGTCCTGCAAATCTGAGAGCAGACCCCTGGCCTCCACCCCTGCCTTGTAGTAGTCAAATGCCACCCATCTTTGGCTGAGCCTGTGGGTGGCACCCTGACTTTTACCCACACCCTAAATAGAATAGGACTCTAATAGAGTAGCAGCACCATCTCAGCCTAAGTCTGTGAGTGAAACTCTGTTTTCATCCCTGATCTGCAGAAATGAGGTGGCTGAGACCATGATCAGAACTCTGGCTCCCTTGCCTACCCTACAGTTCACTGCAAAACAGTACCCATCCCCAGCTGAGTTTGTGGGCCCAGCCCTAACATCCATCCTATCTGTCATAAGTGGCACCGCATGGAGAATGTGGGGTAGAATTCCACTGTCTGGGTATCATGAGTGAGGCAGGCACAATAGCATTACAGAAGTTTTACAAACCAGCTTGACATTGGAACCACAAGGTACAACAGTGAGTTGAAATGTGCATTCTAAATCTAAAGTTGACTGCCTCCTGAGATTGAAGATTTTAATTAGAAACATATTCCTAACATTCAGAATTTCCAAGATATAGTTTGGAACTGCTTATTGTAGCAAGAACCAGGAAAATCTCAACAATCAACAGATACAAATATTGAGATGACACAGACATTGGAACTGTCAGACAAGAAAAACAGCTATAATAAAGGATGATGGGCTGAATCAAATGAAGATGACAGAAGATGAACCAGTAAACTTGAAGATAGATCAATAAAAATTATACAGTTTTCAAGTTGGGTGTGATAGCGCAGATTTATAATCCCAGCTACCCAGCAGGCTAAGGCAGAACAATTGCAAGTTTGAGGCCAGGTTGAGCAAGCAACATCTTGTCTCAAAAATAAAATTTTAAAAGACTGAGGATGTACCTCAGTGTTAGAGTACTTGCCTAGTGTGTATCGAGGCCCTAGGTTCAATCTCTAGTACCAGAAAGAAAAAAAGACCTGTATAAACCACATGCTCCCTGCTTGGACTGGTTTTGCAAGAAGTCAACATAAAGTTTTTATGAATTTAAAAACAAAATGGTTATTTTTTAAGGGTGATATTTTAGTTGATTTATTCAGCTATAGTTTATCACTTTTTCAATCTAATTGAGCAAAATATTTGATTCCTCTTAATCCTTTCTAAAATTTCACTGTACTCTTACTGAAAACTAAATTGCCTTGAAATATTAACCAGAAAATGTTTGAGTTCTGGCATCTTAGCAATTATAGCCCAAGGGCTGGGGATTTAGCTCAGTGGCACTGCACTTGCCTTGCAAGTGCAAGGTCCTGAATTAGATCCCCAGTACCAAAAAAAGAAAAGAAAAAAAGAAATTATAGCTCAGCAAAATTACAAAGCAAAGAAATAACTTCGGTGGAATTACTATGATATATTCAGGTGTTAAAGTGGTAGATTCTAGAATCATCCATAGGACAGAATTGGGTAAATTACTTAATACCTTTGCACTTGGTTTCCTCTGATATCAAATGAAAATATTTCATAAAATATGGTCAGTTTTAAGTTAGTAAGTGTGAGACACTCGGAATACTATGTGGGAGTAGTAAGCCCACAATAAATGTTAGCTGATGATGGTAGTAGTAATAACAAATAATAATTATAGCTATTTGGGGCTACTAGATAAATTAATCTTATGTATAGAATGGATTATGTATGGATATAAATAGGAGCTGCACTATTTTAAGAGGACCCTAGATACCCTTACCTTTGGAGTTCTCATTCTATTTGGTATCAAATGTATTGAAATACAGTTACAGCTCACATTAGAAATACTTTATATTGTGTTCTTTTGGCCACACATTGACTTGTTTTCTTTTTACTTCAGTGGTGCTGGGGATTGGACCCAGGACCTTGTGCCTGCTAGGCAAGAACTCTACCACTGAGCTACATCTCTAGCTTCTAAATGTAATTCTTATATAACGTAAAAGAAATTCAGTTTTAGTTTGAAGTTTGTCTTTGTCTGTTTTGTCCCATCATAGCAAAATACCACAGACTAGGTAATTTGTAGGACAGCAAGTTTTCTTATAGTTCTGAGGTCTGGGAAGCCCCTGAACAAGGTTGAGCACATCCGGTGTGGCCGTCCTCACTGTACCCTCACATGGTGGAAGGCAGAAGGCCTAGAAAAGGTGAACGCTGTGTTTCATGTGGCAGGAGAGCACGCCCCTTCTGCAAGCCCCTGCTGTGCTAGCTAGGACAGAGCTCTCATGACCCGAACACCTTCCAGCCCACACCTGTCACACAATTGCATGAATTTTGGAGAACACAAGTGCGTTCAAACCACAGCACTGGCTGTTTGACATGATATTATATAAATATTTAAATAGTTTTTAGTTTTTTCCTCTCATATGCTCCTGGGCTCACATAACAAATAAATATGATGGGTATAGATAAGCCAAGCATGATGCACACACCTATAATCTCAGCTCCTTTGGGAGGCTGAACCAGGAAAATCAAGTTCAAACCCAGTCTGAGCATCTTAATGACTTAGCATAGCCCTGTGTCCAAATAAAAGAGGGGGTGCTGGGGATGTATCTCAGTTTGAAGGCTCCAGGTTCAGTCCTCAGTACTGAAAAAATAAATAAAAAGGGATAAACTAGAATTCTGCCCTCCTAGGTTACAGCCAAAATTTTCCAACAGGGAAAAAGGGAATATTGCTTTTTCACCTGAAGGAGCTGCTAGAGGCTAGATCACTTTAAAACCTCATCCCAGCTGGAATGCTTTTTGCTAAACTTTTTGCAGTGCTCCCAACTATGAAAATAACAAATTCCTCCTTTTATTCTTCTCTTAGATTGTGGTTTGAATGTTCATAAGCAGTGTTCCAAGATGGTCCCAAATGACTGCAAGCCAGACTTGAAGCATGTGAAGAAGGTGTACAGTTGCGACCTCACGACGCTTGTGAAAGCACACATCACTAAGCGGCCCATGGTGGTAGACATGTGCATCAGGGAGATTGAGTCTAGAGGTGAGGCACTGCCGGCAGGCTGTGACGTCTCCATTCCCCACCACTACGAGTCCCAGCGCCTCTCTGGGGGCCTTATTGTACAGCACTGCTGTTATCTCTTCAGTAATTTGGGGGAGAATGGTTTCAGATGTCACATGATCTCAAAGTCTGGAATGAATTAACAAAGTAAATAGCTTGATTTCAAGGTACAGAATATATGCTTAATGTGGGGTGTGATGGCCCATGCCTGTAGTCCCAACACTAGGGAGGGTGAGGCAGGAGGATTGCTCCATTGTGAGTTTAAGACCAGCCTGGACTACATAGCGAGACCTTGTCTCAAAAAAACAAAAAAGAGAAAATATGCTTAAAAATATATTTATGGATGATGCTTCAGGCCTGCAAAAATTGACATGTAGAGACAGATTCATTTTTCAGTTCTTATATTCATCAAGAAACAAAAGGTAGGGCCAGGGATTTAGCTCAGTTGTTCCGCCACCTGCCACGCAAGCACCAAGGACCAGAGTTCGATCCTTGGTACCAAAACAACCAAAAGAAAAGGTATAAATTTCCTATTAAAATCATCCAATGCCAAAAACTAGAGCTGCACCCTAATTATTCTTTCCCACATGGGAAAATCTGCTATAGGCCTAGTAATACAGTTTGTCTTAGTCCTCTGTTATGTAAAAGAATTCCTATTGTTAATTGGGGTGAATTATTTCCCTTGAGACTTAACATTGTTTGATCTAATTAGACAACATGATGAGCCAAATTATAAATATCCAGGTGACAGTGGGTCAGAATTAAAGAACTGTGAATGACACAGTTTTCTTTTAGCAAAAAAGTGTGAAAAGTTTTCTAATTGTATATATTATTATTTTTCTGACACATTACTCCCCAGCCTAAAGTATGGTGAGAAATTAAAATTTAAAGAAGCATAATTCCAAAAAAGCTAGTTCACCCTCATGCTATTTATCTTTTGTTTTTCTTTTTTACAGGTCTTAATTCTGAAGGACTATACCGAGTATCAGGATTTAGTGACCTAATTGAAGATGTCAAGATGGCCTTTGACAGAGGTGTGTTCTTGAGCACAGTCATTAACTTAGAATGGTCTTACTCTTTGCCAAAACATCACAAATTCTTCTGGGTTTATTTTTTACATTATTTGTCTAAAGATCATTGGTGATTATCATACCTCTCCGAAAAAGTTTCATATTTTTGTATTAGTTGTAAGCATTAAACGCTCAGACTTCAGAGTAACCAAGAAGCATAGAAAGTTTAAACTTACACTTTATATTTGAAGTCAGGATTCTTACAGAAAATGACTAATAGATATTGGAAGCAGAAGCCTGTAGCAGAAGAGAAGGAAACTTCCTTTTTCCCAAGTGTTGAGAGGCGATCTTGCCTTTGTCGTTCTCCACCTTCCTCCCCTGCTCATTCCAGGTCCCTGTGCCCCAGCACCTCAGCTCCCTAACGAGCCGGGTGCAGACCTCTGTGCTGCAGGCACGCTCTGTCCCAGTGCTGCCTGCCACTGCGGATGATTTACCCAATGAGAAAGGTAACATGCACGGTTCGATTCGCAATTGACTATATCTGAAAGGCTGAGGTATTTGCATTTTTAAAGAAGCTGGATTTTTTTAAATGGATTTTAGTTTTAGGTTTTCAAAAAATGTGAGCGGAAAGTAGAGAGCTGTCTCTCATAATCCACAGGGCCCTATTACTAATATCTTGAATTGATTATAATACATTTGTTATAATTGATGGCCCAACAGGGATACTTTTTTTGTGTGTGTGGTACTGGGGATTGAACTCAGGACTTGGGCTTGCAAGGCAGGCATGGTGCCACTGAGCTAAATCCTCAGCCCAATACATTATTATTAAAGTCAATAGTTTATATTAGGGTAACTACCATTACAGGACACTACTATAAAAATTCCTTGTTCATCCCTTTCTCCCTCCCCCCCCCCAATCCTTGGCAACCACTAGTTTTTTGGGTTTTTTTCATACCGGGGATCGAACTTGGGTCCTTGCGCTTGCACAGCAGGCAGTGAAACCACTGAGCTGAATCCCCAGCCCTGCCACTAGTCTTTTTACCATCGCTGTACTTTTTGCCTTTTCCCAAGTATCTTAATTGTAATCATACATCATGAAACCTTTTCAGGCTGATTTCTGTCACCAACATCCATTTAAAAGTTCCTCTGCCTTTTCATGGCTTGACAGCTTCCTTTTTATTGCTGTATAAAATTTTGTTGTATAGACGTACCATAATTAATCTGTTCACATATTAAAGGACATGTAGGTCACTTCCAATTTTTTGTCAATTATGAACAAAGCTGTAAACATTTGTGTGCAGGTTTTTGTGTGGACCTAAGTTTTCAGCTCATTTGGGTAAATACCTAGGAGAGCATTACTGGTTTCTGTGGTAAGACTGTTTAGCTTTGTAAGAACTGTCTATCTTCCTAAGTGGCTACATCATTTTGCATCCCCATCAGCAGCAAATGAGTGTTCCTGATCCTCCACGTTGAAAAATAAGCAGCATCAAGAGAACATTTGAAAAAATTGGCCATTAATGTGTCATGTTACACACTTAATTAAAAACTGATCCATTGCCTATCTTTAAAATCTAATCAAATACAGGCCAGATGTGGTGGCGCACACCTGTAACCCTAGCACTTGGGAGCCTGAGGCAGGAGGGTCACTGCAAATTTGAGGCCAGCCTGGGCTACATAGTGAGCTCAAGGCCAACCTGAACTACATAGCAAGACCCTGTCTCAAAAAAAAAAAAAAAAACTAATCAAATACAAAAATGGCATGCATTAAACAAGTACTGTAAATCCAGATGTTTACTTTTGTTTCTTTTAACATCCCTGAAAGATGGTGAGAAAGCAGATATTTCTGTGAACATGTATGAAGATATCAACATTATCACTGGTGCACTTAAACTCTACTTCAGGGATTTGCCAATTCCACTCATTACCTACGATGCCTACCCTAAGTTCATCGAGTCTGCTAGTAAGTACAGATGCCTGTGTCTCCACGACCCTGAACAACCCCCTCCTCTTGGTGATTACTTCTCTTGCTTTTTCTGATGAGTATTTGAGTGTTTTAAAATATTCAGCAAACATAAAAATCACTATCAGATTCCCATGAAAGTTTCTAATATCTTATTCTTAGTTTTTGTAATTATCTTGTATGTGAATAAGTTAACACAGATCATTAACAATTCAAGGACTGCCATTTTACATCAAGAAGTCATTTAAAATTCTAGTGGAGATGAAAATGAGATAAATAAGAGATTCATTTGCAAAATTTTATTTATACTGCAAAAATCATACCTATAACTCATATTTCATTTTTTAAGGAAAGGAAATCTTAAACAGGTTTTTAGTATTGGTGTTACTTTTTTAGAAAAGATAGGCTATTTCTGTCATTATGCTTTTCTCGCTTTAAAACCATATGTTGTCTTGATTTTTAAATAACAACATGACTTCCTTAGTAACACTGACTTGCTTTTTGACTTTGAAATTTCATGAAGTACAAACTTTCTTTATTCTGATCTTTAGTTTCCCCTCAGTGCTTTCATGGAGAATTTCTGTGGTTACTTCCTTGGAGCTCTGATTTTTTACAGGTCAGCCTGAGCTCTCATGTAGAGAACACCCATGAGAATTACACTGATTAAAAGTCAAAAATCAGGAACAATTCTGGGTCACTTCCGTGGGGATTTAACTCCTCTCGGTGCCCGTCACAAACACTTTCTGAGGGAGCTGACAGGCTCCTGCTTTAGGCAGACATTCCTCCCCAGTGCAATCATGAGTGGGATCTGTACTCTGGAAAGCACCTCAGGGTGAAGGCTGCTCCACCCAGGTGTTCTGTCCCCGGCCTACCATGTGTTGCTTGGTAGTAAGACTTCCAGTTGGCTCCATGCCGAACTCAGGTGCATACCGTTACCAGGGGACAGAACAGGGGTTCCTGCCCCATGCCACTCCCTGATCTGGGTAACATCCAAGCCTTCTGGTGGGATTTTGAAGCACCTGGCCCCACACATCCAAACTACCTCACCTCTTCCCCTACACCCACCATGGTTGCTGGGGAAAATCACCTCTTTCATATTCTTCCATTTGCCATTGTTGGGAGATTTGTTTCTGAAAGAGCTTTTCTGTCTGAAATTGCAAGCCTCCTTATTTCAGAGTGCTGTTGAACCCACATCACCAGAAAAGATTATTCCTAAATCAAGGTGGAAATGCCTTCTTATAATTCCAGGCATTTCAATATATAATTTCTGTGACACCACAAACCCTGGCTAATGCCTAAGCATAACACAAATGTTCCTGGCACACATTTGATAATGGCAGCATTGTGAAACTTGTATCCTTGTCTGTCTTTTCCAGCAGGAGAGGTGGTCTCATTCTTCAGACATACATACAGGCATCTCTTAAAAGGCAGAAAAGGAAGATGAGGGAAGTTAATGGGTATAGAGCAGTGCTGGCAAACTAATGGCACACATGCCATAGCAGGCTGTTTGTATCATTGAAAGCTCTAAAAGGTTCACCATCACTGGTACAGAGCATATATGAGGTGCCATGCATCAGGCCAGTCACTTTCCATCCATGGTATCATTGTAGAAAGAAGGCGATGTTACAGAGTGTCAGTTGGCCACATTCATGTCACTAGAGGCGGCAGCCCTGACACCAAGACCTACTCGTCAAAGCCCTTGCTCTCCGCTCTGCACACTGCCTGGCTCACCTGATGGAGCTGGAAAAAATGTATCAAAGGACAAAGAAGGGAGGGGAGGGCCCCCTTCCAAATGAACAACAGTTACTCTTAAATATCTTCCTCTCTTGCCCCCCAAAACTGTCTGGCATTTATTAGCATCTTTTGCCAACAAGAGATTAGAGTTCATGTGAAAGCTGGCTTGAGCAAATGCTGGTGGGGCTCTGCTGTAGCAGCCTGCCTCGGAGAGATTCAGCATTAAGGCTGGAAGGGAGAGGCCAAGGACACACAAAGGGACAGCCAGACCTCCCATCTCTAGAGGCATGGCCTTCCAGAGCCCTGGGCACTCCCCTATGCCCTTCTGTGAAGCCTGGGTCTGCCTGCCCCTTCCTCTCCTCACCAACTAAGATACTGTGACTCTCCATACAAAGGCCCAGGAGACAGGACTTCCCGCTGGGCCCGCTCCATAAGCCAGCATTCATGGACAGCTCTGGACCCCTATGAAAACCACACTTCACGGGGAGCTGTTTGTAGAGCTGAGTGTGGGAAACCATCCTCCAGCCCAGTCATCAGAGTTTTCTTCCCAGAAGATCTTAGAAAAGTCACATGGCTCAGTTGTGTAGCCCTGAGTGAGTCAGATAAATGCAAATAAAACTCAAGGTACTTTGTCCCATGTAACTTTGGACTTCCTGAAGAGAATCCCTGGAAGGAAACTTGCTAGTATTTCCTCTGCTTTGCCCTGAGTCACCCCCTTTACTTAGCTAAATTTATTTTTCTTGGATTTGAGTTTCTGTATACAGAATTAACAAGACATTCATTAGACATTTTTTATTAGGTCTTGATCCAGGTTCAGAGTGCTTATTTCCTGGCCCGATGGTGCCCACATTTTCAGCGCCTTCCAGGCCCTCAAGTGCCTTCTGTTCTCCTCTGGACCTCCAGCCACAGGCTCTCTCTCTTCACACTCCTGTCACCTGGACCTCTGGGTGGCTTCTTTCCACGAGGCCAGCTGGCTGCAGTGGTTCTGTCTTCTCTACTGCCCTGACCTTCCTTCAGTGCAGGCACTCTTGCATGTATTTGCCCAGTGACCATGTCACCCCACCTCTTACATAACAGGTGCTCAATAAATATTTATTGAATAAGCTGATAATTTTATGTTGAGACCCACAGACTCTTACATCTTTAGATATTCCAAGGGGTCATGTGGCTAGACTTCCTCCTGTTCTTGAAATGCACCCAGTCCAGTGGAGCAGACGAGTGGCACCGTCATAAAGCCCTGCTGTGTAGGGCAGAAACCTGCCTGCCTTTGATGCCTTCCTTTTTGGTAGTGGTGTTAACCTTGCCCTTTTCCACATGCCCTCCTTCCTATATTTGATTACAATGATAATGACCATTTGTCTCTGAACACATTCCATTATGCTGAAGCTTTCTCAGAGCTGAACAGCTGTGTTCTCTAAAAACCGGGAATGGGCAAGCAGTGATACCTTGGTTATCAAACTCAATTCATTCCATATTCGTGTCTGAACACCGAAAAGTTCAAGAACTAGACATATTTTTTCCCATATGAAATAACAGAAAACCAAATAACAGGTTCTGAGGCCCCAAAATTACTTATAAATTCATTTTTCTGGGACTTGAACAATTTTCACAATGATTTCTTTTACTCTCTCATGGTTCTCAGTTTTCCTCTTAGCTTTACTGCTGGTATCACTAACTTTCTTTGGACCCATGGTTACGATATTTTACACAAATAAAGCGAAAAAAAAGCACAAAAAGCACAGTAACGAATGTTGTGACACACTAACACAAGCATTATATGTCATCTGGCCGAGAGCAGTGCTTAGACTGAAGTGCCACCCCTTTGTGTCCACAGCAAGACACAACATGAGTCGTGTGACTCACTCCCAGCCCATACAGGTTTTTTCAAGTCAGATTTTCGATTTGACTATTAAGCAAAGTTATGAACACCAAGCAGATATTTTTTTGAACTTTGCTGTTCGAGTAGTGGAAAGTTTGCACTTGGAGCCATTCAACAACCAAGGTACCTTTTTATATAGAAGAAAAGAAGGAATGAATTCCAGGGAAGATTTATATCAGCCAGTTTATTCAATGCATTTTATCTTATTTCTCCAAATATTTTTTTAATGCTCCCAAATTATACCTCCCCGAAGCAATGTCCTCTCCTGAGCACCAGATGAATCCAATTTGTTCCACTGCCTAGTGGGTGTCTCAAATGGAACTCACCACCACCTCGTGCACCTGCAGTCTTTCCTGCCTCAGTTGATGCAGACTCCATGTTCTAGTTGCCCAACCCAAATCTTGGGTTGTTCTTCTCTTTCTCATAAATCCCTTTTTAGGAAATCTTTGTGGACTCTACCTTCAAAACACAAAGAACCAAGCGATTTCTTATCACCTTCACTACCACCTGATCCAAGTTACTCTCATTCTTCCTTTCAATTTTTTTTTCCCCCAATACTGGGCATTAAATTCAAGGCCCTCACACTGAGCCATTTTTTTTTTTTTTTTTGAGAAAGGTTCCCACCAACTAAATTGCCCAGGCTGGAGTCAAACTGGGGGTCCTCCTGCCTCAACCTCTGAGTACTGGGATTACAAGTGTGCACCACTATGACCAGCAGTCCTGTTTTTATAATAATGACTGGAATGGTCTTTCTGCCTTTACTCTTGCACTTCTCTAGTCTTTGTTGTGCATGCCAGCCAAAGGAGAGAGAACTACGGAAGTGAATGTCAGATCATGACACGTCTGTTCAGAACCTTCCTGTTTCTCTCTGTAAAAGCTAAGTGCTTGGATTCGCCTTCCCTGTTGCTAGTCTGACCTTGGCATGTGATGGCTCCTGCTTTCCCCCTGTTCCCCACTTTCCCTCAGATGTTACAGGCACACCCCAGGGCAGGGCTTTACATGGCTGCCTCTCTGCCAGAACCCTCTTTCCTCCAGATCTCCACATGGCTCATTCCCTCCTTCAGAGTCTTTACTCAGAAATGTCTTTCTCGTTGAGGTCTTTCTGACTACCATTTAAAACTGCAGTCCCCTCCCCACCCTGCTGATCTTTCCATAGTGCCTGCCTCATCCTAGTATCGATGAACTAGGTACTATCATGTTCATTGTTTACTGTCTCCCACCTTTACTTACAAAGCAAGCTCCTATGAGCAAGGAATTGTGTTTACTAGAAACTTTTCACTTTCATCTTTGATTGGTTTGTCCCTGACTCCATTATATCCATTGAGTTGGTTTATTAGTTTGAAACACTAGGATTTGGGGCCTCTTGTCTTTACTGCCACATTCTAATCAGCTGTAGCCTTCCTAGCACTTCAAGGCTGCTATTCTGATTAGGACTCAGCAGCATGGAGTCCCATTGCAGCTGCCCTGAAATCCAACATTTAAAGGCAGCCCACCATCGTGGCATTTTGGTAGAAGCAAGAGTATGCTATGGTCCTCTTAGAGCACCAAATTCTGAAGATGTACATTGTTTCCGATTATAGAGAACATTGATGAATCAAAAGCAATCTGTGACCTCAAAGGAATGTGCTAATTTTTTGGCCCACACAGCAGAACTAAAATACAGAATAAAGATGTTCTTCAATGTTAACACCTTTGGAAGGGATCCCACTATCATGCAGAACATTTGGAATTGCCTTCAAGGCCTGCAGTACAATCTTCTGAGTATCTTAAATAATGGAAAATACTTGTGTGTTAAAAGGAGATTTAAGTACAGTGGACCCTTGACTTATGAACTTAGTCGGTTCCCAAAGGCTGTAACTAAGTCAGTACAGCTGAGATCTGGAATGTTTACTTGGGTACACACTATAGATAACAAGAGGCAGATGAGTCTTCCATTAACCTAATTAATCCAAGTTGTTCGTATGTCAGGCCGGTTGTAACTTGAGGGTCCATTATAATTTAAAACTAAGTCTAATGAATAAAACACATAAACACTGGAGGATACATTTCTTGTTTAAAAAGAAAAAGGGCTGGGGATGCAGCTCAGTGGTAGACTGCTTGCCTAGCATGCAGGCCCTGGGTTGGCTCCACACACACACCAAAAAACATAAAAAGAAGAATATTCCAGAGTCCAGGGGGCAATGAGGTGGCATGGCAAGTTTACCATCACTGAGAGGAGATTTTCAGTATTTTGAACATACACCATCCCATTCATGTGTCTGTAACACTATAAGATGATCTCACTTGAGTGTATTTGAATATACAAAACAGTCTCCACACATCTGAATTTTATAGTTACATCCCATATATCTAATAAACAGTTGCCAGACTCAAGATACTCAAGTGAAGAAAGAAGACTCCTCCCAGAAAAGTCCAAGTGAACAGTGTTACCACACTGAAACTACAAGCGTTTGGAAATCTAGGGCTTCGATCTGAAAATTATTTTCCAAAGCTGTGGGCAGGAATCTGTGAGAAAGTGTTCCTACCAGCTTTAGATGGAGAATTCAGTGAGCCATTTGTACCTGTGTTCTGATAAAGCTTTGATCCTTGGCATTCTTCTTGCTATTTTAGAAATTATGGATCCTGATGAGCAATTGGAAACCCTTCATGAAGCGCTGAAACTACTGCCGCCTGCTCACTGCGAAACCCTCCGGTACCTCATGGCGCATCTAAAGAGGCAAGTTACAGGCTTGGAGTCTTATGCTTGTATTGCATCCAAGGTCTAAGAATAAAATGAAAGGTGAAAGAAAGGACAAATGATCTTTTGAATGAATAATTGAATAGCTACATTGTCTTCTTGTGAGAAGTTGCACTAGTTGAGAAAGAATGCTAAAAATACTTTGCACTCCTGTACTGAACAGAGACCCGATTCTGACATAGATGTATATGCCATTCTGGTATGTGTTTCCAGATATGCCAGAAACACCAGTATTTGGCAAGGCCATGCATTCAATTTCATGGCAGGAGAAAGGCTTGTAGCTTCATGGTAGAGCAAGAACAAGGCAACTTGCAAGGCAGCTTGCTTGTCTTTTATTTTCTTGATCCAAAATAAGCACTTGAGACTTAGTGAAGGGATCTTAGATTATTGAATTAATGTTGCCAGCACTGAAACTGGTATGAAAAGTTATGAGGTAAAGGGAGGAATAGAAAAGAAAATATTTCAGTTAGTTTGGGTTTAACACTTTTTGTTTTTGTTTTTATTTTTGGTACCGGGGATCAAACTCATGACCTTCTGCTTGCAAGGCAGGCCGCAGCACCACTGAGCTAAATCCTCAGCCCTGGGTTTAACACTTTTTAAAGTGATTGATGGTGCTGTAGCTTTATTTCCCACTTGATCACCTGTGTTCTCTAGCAGTATAAGCAAAGTTTTCAGTTATATGACTAATTGTTAATGGTTTTAAGGTTTGAAAATGTAAAATCAATTAGAAACAAAAAACTTTGTATGCCCATTAGTTATTTGGGGATGTTTGCATTTTTCCTCTTTAAAAATTAAGCACCATGAGTTAAAAACCTTTCCTTAATATGCTTACAACTCCACTTAAAAATTCAAGGCTGTTCCATTTTGTATGTAATTAAGTGTTCCACACTAAAAGAAAGAAATAATTCTCAAATTATTGTCTGTGCTATTGCTTTAGTAGTGAAAAAAATACAAACAGACTCCTGGACAATGGCATTTACTCTGAGCCATTTCCTATTACTGTCACAACTATTTTCTCCATAGGCACTCAATAAACTGTCCAACTTGCACAAAATACTCCACAGGAAGCAAGCAAGCCAAAGTGGAGGGAGGGAAGGCAGAGGGAGCAGTCAAGGTGACCCAGTTCCCTTGCTGCTGCAACATGTTCCTGCAGCTGTAGACTGGGGCAAGAGAATCCACAATCCGAAATGAGCCCAGACGGCCCACACATTCACTCAGCTAAGCCTAAGCCATCACGAGAGGCGAATGTTCCTTACTAACGTCATCTCCTTCAGGGAGGTGGGAGTTACAGAGAAGTGGCGGGAGAGTTGATATTGGACGCAAACCTTTGCTGTGAATCTCGTTTCCTCAGTGCTCAGGCACAGTGCAGAGCCTCATGGCTTCCAGTCATCCTGTTCCTTCACTTGTGTTTTTCAGAGTGACTCTCCATGAAAAGGAGAATCTTATGAATGCAGAGAACCTTGGAATCGTCTTCGGCCCAACCCTTATGAGATCCCCAGAACAAGATGCGATGGCTGCATTGAATGATATAAGATATCAGAGACTGGTGGTGGAGCTGCTTATCAAAAATGAAGACATTTTATTTTAAATTTTTAATTTGAGGGAAAAGAAATGTTTTACAGATGAAGGATGTTTTATAGTAATTTAATTGGCTCCATAGCTGAATTATTTCTTGGTTAGAGATTTGGGCAAATAACCAGATGAAAATGAAGGAACTTTCTGTCATTTCTGTAGCACCACTCTGCTGTCCTTGTAAAACATGCTTTCCAGTTCTAGTAATCCTGGGTGTTTATCATGATACGAGAAACTCAAGCTGTATTGCATGATTACCCCCCATTCGGTAAGGAAACCCCATGCAACAAACGCAGACCTGCACCTGCTCCACCTCCGTCCTGGGTAGTCTGTGATTGTAACCCAGCATGTTTCACAGAGTAAACCTGTTGTGATTTTCCTTTTGGGGTCCATGCCATTGGTTTCTGCTGCTTGTACAAACATGCGCGTGCACACACAGATACACTGCACCCCTGGCTGTTGCGTTGCCATAGACAGTATCACACGCTGACTTTTCACAAACGATTTCCAGTTTCTCTCAAGCTCCTCTCTAACATAGTATTCTTTCCAGCAAAAGCAAAATGTGCTTTCAGATTTGTTACTTTAACAAGTTATCCTACCAATAAAATGTACAACACAGAGCATTTTCTGTTAAATTATTTGGTTTTCAGTTATTTTGTATTTTTATCTGGCATGCATTAATTTATTAAATTTGGCTTTTAGAAATCAAAAATATTGTTAGTTTCCTTGTTTTTGCCACGAGTGGGCGTATTTGACCATCTCTCTAATACTCAGTACTTTCCCATCACTTTTTATTATTAAAAGGGGTGTTTATTTGGTAATCTCCTGAAATAATAATTTAAAGCTGCTTAGACTCAAAACAGTCATTGAATTTCTTTTTTTGCCTATTACTCTGGCTGAAATCTAGGCCATTTCCTCAACTTTTCAAGACAGCAGAACAGAAGTTTCTTCTAGACTCATCAGAAGAAATTTAAACATTGGGTTTGTTGGAAACATCTGGGGTTGACATTCATTGGGCCAACAGCACCTCCAGGGGCGAATCCCAGGGCAGGTGGGCAGCTGGAGTAATGGGGTGCACTGGATGCCTAGAGCCCACATCCGGTCCTGGTACTGTCCTGGCCCATGAGGCTTTGAGCAAATAACCCTCCAGAGTCTGTTTCCTGGCCTGGAAAATGAGCATCTACCTAAAACCAAATTTCTATCCTGCTTTAAAAAGTAAAGTAATAAACGAGGTGTGGGGGCATGTGCCTATAATCCCAGCGACAAGAGGCTGAGCCAAGAGGATCACAAATCCAATGCCACCTGGGTGAGTTAGCAAGACCCCATCTTCAAAAAAAGGAAGCAATAATAAAATAGAACATTTCTGAACTTTTCAAGACCATTGCAAAGATAATGGGGCCTGGCAGAAGTACAGCTTTTCCAACTCTTTTCACCCATAGTACGAAGTTGGTAGTATGCATTCATTAACGTTTACATTGAGGAAAGTGTAGCTATTGAGGGACTGTTCCATCACAGCTATCAACCACTGTCCTATAAGAATGTCACTGCACTGAGCAACATCAAATACATTGATAAAGTACACACATTTGTTTCATATAACAAAATTTCTTTAAAGTGGAGGCCACTTAGAGGAACTAAACACTAAGGCTGCTTTTCATCTGTGAAGTACCCTTGCCAGGAACTGTGATCAAACCTGAACTGTCTCAGGTTAGACAAAGCCCACTGAACTGCACGACTGAAGTCTTCGCAGTCTTCTTTTGAAGAAGAAATTCAGTTGGGAAAGAATATGCATTACTGCAATGTTTTCACCCTGTTTTTCGTACAAGGCCTGGGGTGTAGCTCAATGATAGAACACATACTTAACATGATGGGGTCCCTAGGTTCAATCCCCAACATAAGAAAATGGCAAGAAACTAAAAACCTAAGAAAACAAATGTGGTTGACTTCTAGGCACTTTCTAGAACTTGAGCTGTAAGGTTCAGTTTCCTTGGATTTGTTTTTTTTGTGGGTGTTTTTGTTTATGTAGTACTGAGGCTAAACCTGGGCACTCAACCACTAAGCTATATCCCCAGTCCTTTTTACTTTTTGAGACAGGGTCTTATAAATTGCCCATTGATTTTTCCCCCCCATTGATTTTGTTTATTTTTGGTTGCGGGATCAAACTCTGGACCTTGCGCTTTCGAGGCAGGCGCTGGAACCACTGAGTTAAATCCCCACCCTCCCCATTGATTTTTAAAGGTGGGTGGTGTGTGTGTGAGAGAGAGAGAGAGAGAGAATTGAACCCAGGGCCTAGCACAAGGTAGGAAAGGTCTCTATTACTGAGCCACATCCCTAGCTTCTAATCATCATTTTAAGACAAATATTTTAGAGTTTATTGCCCCAAAGCCAAATAGATATTGACAAGTCTACTTGAAAAGTGAAGTTCTAAAATGTACACTGGAAAATCAGGGTGCCGAAATTTCTTCTTCCAACAGTAGAGTCTCATCATTGGGAACTTAGCTTCTTAGGGAAATCTTTTAAGTGTTTTTATAACTTCATTTGCTATATCAACTGTGTGGTATTCACATCTATCTGTTAGGTTAAGGTGAGCCATTTGCATGCAGGAGCTAAAGCAGTAGTGTTCCTTACATGCATCATCACATACCACACTTATCCCCAAAACGGGCCATTCTGACTTGACTGGCATATATTTCAGCAGTGCAAAGGAGAAGGCTAAGGAGTACTAGCCTTTCATCACTGTGACTAAATACTTGAGAAAAGCAGCTTAGACGAGGAGAGGTTTATTTTGGTTTGTGGTTTTAGAGGGTTCAGTCCATGAACTACCTCCATTGCTTTTAAGCCTCTGGTGAGGCAGAAACATCATGGAAGTAAGACAACTGTAGAGGGAAATGGCTTACTTCATGGCAGCCAGGAGGCAGAGAGAGAGCATGAGCCTGTGCTCGCAGGTTTCCTCCTGCTACTGGATGGCGAGGGTCACATTCAGGGGGGGTCAACATCATCTGTTTGTTGTCCCACCCAACTGTCTCTGGAAACACCCTTCCAGACACACCTAAAAGTGCACTTTACTAAATTCCTAGGTGTTTATTAATCCAATCAACTTGGCAATCAAGATTAACCACAGAGAAGGGCACAGCCTCTAATTTTCAGAAATCCTTTGCACCATCTGCCTTACTCAGTATGTGCCAGTCACCATTCTAGGACTTGGGACAAGAGCAGTTTCAGTTCTCAAGGAACTCACCATGTCAATCCAGCCTAACTATGCCTTACTTTTGTACTTTTTCTCATTGCCACTTGTGCCATATTGGCCTCAGCACTAGAAATCAGCAGAAAGCCACAAGGCAGGTATTGTCTTTCATAATTCCACTTGAGTTCACAATTCCACTTGGTACTTTGATCGTAAACATTTCTTTGACCAATAAGGAAAGCAGATAAAAAAAAAATGGCTTCAGCAGAGCCAGTGAGAAGCATGAGAAGCATGCATAGCCTATCCTTTGGGAAGTGTATGCTGTCTAAACCGGGACAACATGGCCCGCTTGGGGGACCTTAACATTTTCAGATATGGATTCACTGGTCCCTCATTTCCCTGTACAAAACAAGGCCATCAGTCTCATCATGTCCTGGCACACTGCCTTCATTTTGGCTAATCCCACATGTAGTGAACAGTCATTCTACAAAAAGGATGGTCTCAAGCTAACGGCTGTTTCCCTGTGGACAGTGGCCCTTACCCTTACCCACAAGAAACAGTCCAAGACCCCAGTAGATGCCTAAAGCCAGAGTACCAACCCCTACATATCCCATGCTTTTTCCAACACATACATACCCACAATATACAAACTAAATGCATTTTCATCTTAGCACTTACGACATTTCTGTGGCTGTAATGTTTGCAGTTGGAGTGCTACAGCAAAATTAGCACAAGTTTCTTTTTTCTTTCTCACAATTTTGCAGATAGGCTATTTGTTCTTACCCTACATCTTAGCAACCTCAGCAGCATGGTTTTCTTTCCTGAAGTTGAGAACTTTCACTTTTCCACTCAAAGCCCTTTGTTGCTTCTCTTTGGCACAACTGAAGAGCCAGTGTCACTATTCTTGCCCTTTGAGGGCCACTGTTAAGTAAAATAAGGCTCCTTGAACCAAGCACTGCAGTGCTATAGTGGTCCATCTGATAATTACAAACTAGTGGACTCGCTGTGGGCAGAATACACAGGACAGGGTGGGTGCACTGAAGGAAAGGAAGGTTCCAGTCCTAGGATGGAGCAGAACCTCGGAAGTTGTCATCAGCCTGCCCAGATGGGTGTATAATTCAAACTTAATAATTGTTTTTCTGGTATTTTCCACTGAATATTTTCAGAAACTCGGTAATTGAAACCTCGTAAAGTAAAATCTCAGATAAGGGAAAACTTCTGTAATAAAAAATGTATTTGGTCTTTGTCCCCCGTTCCTGGCACAGAGCTTCTAAACACCCTGGAATTTCCTGAGTAAAAGAAGCATCTTTTGTTTTTCCTAATGAGCCCTTCTAATCACACTGAAGTGACTTGGGGTGAGACTCCTAGGTAGCCTCTGAAGCCAGTTGGAAAAGCCAAGTAATTAGAAGGTTGGAATTGTCAGCCACACTCACTGACCTCTGGAAGGAGAGGGGGGCCTGGAGACTGAGCTCTACACAAGCTGTTGAATAATCAGATTGATAAATTTCCGGAGGGGTAAACATGGTAAACCTCTGCATCCTGCTGCCCTAAAGCATCTCTCTTTTTTGTGGCTCTTCCTGAGTTGTACCCTTTATAATCAGCTGATACACAGCAGCATTTTCCTGAGTCTATAGACCATTCTGGGAAGTAATCAAGCCTGAGGAGGGGTTGTAGGAAGCCCTGGTTTATAGCTTCTCAGTCAGAAGTGTAGGTGGTTCCCAGGGACTTGTAACTGACATCAGAAGTGGGTGAGGTCTTGTGGGATTGAGTCCTTTAACATGTCAGATCTGTCACCAACTCGAGGTAGATGGTATCAGAACTGAACTGAGTTGCAGAACACCCAACTGCTGTCCTATAGTTGGAGAATTTGTATATAAGGTCCACACATTTGGTGTCAGAGTTTTGTGAATATAAATACTCCACCATTAAATAAAAATTATAAGAGGCCATTGTTTGGGGAAAAGTTCCTACACTGGGCACCACAAACCAAGCTAAAAATCTAAACAGAGTCACTAACACTAAAATTCCATTTCACCAAGCTGAAATTAAACTGTATCTGACTTTCTGAAAAATCAGGATTAGTGCTTTCTTTATTTAGACAAACTTCCCAAACAGATCAGTTTTAATTGGCATGATAATAAAGTTCCCTATGTTTTAATCCTTAGTAGAAAAAAGTTATCCTGAAGTAACCTGATGTTAACCAGTTATTTTTCTACTATTTTGTCTCCCTGCCTCCACTTTACAAGGAAAGTAACTTTAAAATGACTAATCTACTTTTGGGTTTTGTTACCACATTAACCCTTTTCTGTCTATAAAACCAAACTCCTCTGCTCACCTCAAGGAAATGCTTACTCTATTTTATGGGTTTATCAGTGCTAGAATCCAAAATAAAGTCAATTAAGACCTTTAAATTATAATTTTGTCCTTTGACACTACT